CAGTTGCCTCCAGTGAACAGCACTTTTGGGATTTATTTATATAGCCCTCCTACTTATATCAAACTCCCAATTAAAACAATATCTTTAATAAAACAACATAAAAGCCCTGCATAAACATTAATGCAAGGGAGGCATGATAGAAATGGCTGGGTTTTCTTTGCATCAAAGATAAATTCAAACTTTTAGACAACTAGCAGAAATGTTATTAATAATAATCACAACTGGGAGAGAAAAGTTAAGAGCAAAGTTGGACATTGGAGAGGCTTGTGTAACATGCAATTACTGTTAATGGCCACGGTGCTCATTTATTAGGTTATTTAAAAATACCATTTCTGTGTCAAAACAAGGGTCCTTTTTTTCATGAAACTATCTTATCTGTGAAAAGCATTTTTAGCTCTGGTATTACTAATTTTTCAGAATAGAACATAAAATATGTTTTCTGTTTTGATTTTAACAGATTAACAGCGTTGGAAGGGACCTTATAGGTCATCTAGTCTAACCCCCTGCCCAAGCAGGAGACCCTACACCATTTCCGACAGATGGGGGTCCAGTCTCTCCTTGAAAGTCTCAAGTGATGAAGCTCCCACAACTTCTGAAGGCAACTTCTGTTCCATGTGTTGATTGTTCTCACTGTCAGAAAATTCCTCGTTTCTAGGTTGAATCTCTCCTTGGTCAGTTTCCATCACTTTCTCCTTGCCTGGCCTTTGGATGCTTTGGAAAATAGCTTGACCCCCCCCCCCCTCCTCTCTTTGGCAGGCTCTCAAATATTGGAAGACTGCTATCCTGTCTCCCCTGGCCCTTCACTTCACTAGCCAGGGCCGGGTACTTACAATTGTTCCTTATATGTTTTAGCCTCCAGTCCCCTAATCATCTTGTTTGCTGTCCTCTGCACTTTTTCTAGAGTCTCAACATCTTTCTTATAGTGTGGTGACCAAAACGGGATGCAGCATTCTAGGTGTGGTCTTACTAAGGCTTGATAGAGTGTTTCACTGTCAGATAAGGGTCTAATCTAGAATGCCACATTATTGGATCCAGACTTTTTTTTTTTTTACATATGTTTTGTCAAGCATGTATGAGAAAACAAGTATAAGTATGCATTGTGACCTCTAGGCTGGAATACTGCAATGTGCTCTACATGGGGCTGCCCTTGAAGAG